ACATCTAATGAACCTTCCTAAAGCCTTAAAGACTAGTCTCTCACAAATTGAGTCAACCAACCCTTTTAAAATCAGAAGTCATATAGTCATTGTAACCGAACCACTAAGAAAAGCATTCATATCCATACCTAATATTAAATTAAAAAACCTTCATTTATTCATTAACATCTCAAGTTTTATAGCTAAAGTTCCCCACTGTTCTCCACAAAAGAAAATCCATCCATCCACGGACAAATAGTTCTAGCAAATAAATATATTAAAGAACTCATAATCAACCTTTTCTTACCATTCAATAATTTCAACCATAATTCATCCACCGCCTCCTCGTCATTTTATATTAGAGACAAACTGGTTCAAACCCCCATAGTCTTTGTCCTAAAAGAGAGGAAAAATCAATAATCCAAAGAGACCACCACCACAAGTGGCGGCCCTTATCGGAAATTTTTTGCCAAAGTTTTATTCCAGCAAAAAGCTCATCTTTTAAGAAGAGGAGAAATTAAATTTCATAAACAACATCTTTATCACCATCAAAAGCTTAATCACCTGCGAGTTTAGAGGTACATAAGCAAGAACCTACAATAATTGGCTTCAATGGGTGGTAGATCTAATTTCCACTTGTGGATAAATATTTCAAACACATCATTTGAATTCTTTAGTGTTCATAATTTAATATTTACATAGAATGCAAGAATCTTGCATGTTTGTTGAAAAGCTAGAGAGAGAAATCATCTTGTCAAAATGGTAAACATCACATCCAGTGTAGCCTAACCCATCATAAACCTATCCTAGCTTTATTTTCTTAAGAGTTAAATATGCTGAGCAGCGAATTCCACAAACCAAAAATACTCATTAACCCTTTAAGTGTGATTTCAAACAATCATTGGAAGTAAATTTACATTTCATCTTACTTGTGATCTAAAACCCATACATATTAATATTTATGTAATTAGGTACTGATGAATGTCACGATCCAGCCCGAGGCTTAGAATTAACTAAGGCGGGTACAGACGGACGGACGGTGGGAATTAAGAGTCTGGATGAGGAAAAATTATTTCATACGGACACCGCAATGCACGCGGTGCCGATTTCAACCGCTAATATGTATTTCGATGGGTCCTAAAAAAAATAAAAATAAATAAAAAATAGGGCCCATCAAAATACATATTTGTTGTGATGAGCGGTTGAGATCGAAGTGTCCGATTTCAACCGCTAATATGTATTTCGGTGGGTCCTAAAAAAAATAAATAATAAATAAAAAATGGAGCCCATCAAAATACATATTTGTGGTGATGAGCGGTTGAGAACGAACACCGCATGCATTTTTGCATGCGGTGTCCGTATGGAATAACTTTTCCTAGCTGAGGCAACTGCAGCTGTGAAGCTGCTGCATAAAAAAATTGCTTTCAAAAGCTGTGGGGGCTATTACAAATTCATTTTATTTTCACAAAGTCAGACTGCAGTTTTCTAGCAATCACAATATTCTAACAGCACAAGCTGAAAAAAATTATTTTCTACCACAAATATCTAAAAAACAGCAATAAAGTAAATCCTCAAACAAAACTATGATGACTATTTGAAAAACAAAGCACGCAGATAGTTGTTCCAAACAGATCTTAAGTTTTCTATATTTATTTACCATTTAATAAATAAAATAGTCACTAATCAAATTAAATTAAAGCATTATATTTAAATTTACCTCATTACTGGTTATCTGCGTCTTCTATAAACATTTTCTCTTATATTGCTCATCCTTTAATCACTTAATTAGAACTAAAATGTTAATTTAAAACAACAGTAAGTTTAAATAAAGCTAGTGACTACTCATACTTATAAACTACAGGAAAAAAAAATAATATTCATGTCAGTTAAACTTATTATTTTAATAGCATATTTATATCATTATATACATATACTACTGTCATAGAATCGCCGTCTAAAAATTATACCACTTAAGATACTTCAATATCAATATCATTTTTCATTTACTTGCACAGAGACCTTAAGGCCCGTTTGGGCAGCTTATTTGCATCGTTTGTGTTTTGAAAACGCAGTTGAGGCATTTGTTTCGTGTGTTCACTCTGCTTATCTGAATAAGTTGTTCTGATTTTCTTAATAAACTCGGTTGCACGGTCGAGCCTGTGGCTTGCGTTCTTACCCAGCTTATTACCCGCATGCCCTTCGGAAGTTAACTTCACCTCAGAGGAAGGGTGGTCCAATCGAAAAAGCGAGAGATTTGGTCATGGAGGAATGGGATCCGAGCACAATGACTCAAATCCATCTTATTGTTCAAGGAGCCAGAAAGAATCGCGACACAAGAAAATGCACAAGGAAGGAGTGAGGGCTTTCGGTCTTCGGCTTTGCCGTGCAGGTTTCTTGAGGAGAGAACGGTGAAGGAGAGGATGGTGTGAAAAATCAGCGGCGGAGGCGAGAGCTTCTACTCCTTGGTCGAGCGCGGACAGGGAAGGACGGCGAGGGCTTCGACGGGCTGGATAGCATGTGAGGCAAGAAGTGCAGAGTTTCGAAGGAATCTATAAGTCGTGATTCTGTTGTTACTTTTTCTCCGGCTTGATTTGTGACAGTAGTGGAGAAGGAGACAGAAAGGGGAACCGTGAGTGCGAGTGCTTTGAACAGAAGAGAGCGAAGTGGAGATGTGGATTTGAATACAGAAGACACGAGTTGATGGCTCACATGTTATTCAACACAAGCCTGCGTTCAAGTTACATGATAAACTTGGTCATCCTAATAAGAATAGGTTCCTCTAAAACTTTTTTTTAATTATATTTTTCCATGTTATATTCTTTAGATGACTTTTACTTTTTTTTTTTTTTTTTGTTGGGTGATCTTTTCTAAACTGAATGCCCAGTCTTAAGTATATCAATATAACTTCAAATTAATCTTTTGTACATTGTCTGTGATAGTTTATTGCAAAGAACATTACTGCACAAAGGCAGAATGATCATTTATCCACAATCAGCTACAAATCAATTGTTTTCCAGCAGCATAAATAAACAACCAACCAGCTTATCTGGATAAGCTGTTGATCAATAGCTTATATCAGGATAAACTGCTTATCAGCAGAAGTTGGATAAGCTGCAGCTGCCCCAAACAGACCCTTAGTATTCTTCTGTCAAGGCAACTCCATCATAATCAGTCATGCACATACAAACAGTCAATATAAACATATCATTCATGTGTTTATCGCATTCAATTTAAAATAGTATATATAATATACGCCAATGTATGATAGTAACTACAAATATACATAACAATGTGAACAATAAGGAAATAACATTTAAATCAAAATAATGCTTATACAATATCATTATCTACTAATGCAAAGTAATGGAAAAGACCCAAAATATTATCATCGATTAAAAGTGCGATTACTCGCCTCGATGACGATTAATTTATTATTTGATTTAACTTGACATCGACTCTTCTAAAATTGATGTCTATAATAAGCACGAATATTCATAGTACAAAATTTTAATTCATTATCATTTTAATTAGCGATTAAATTTAAGTATTAAATTTCCATTATTTTACTTTATGAAATCCTAGCTCATTAATTAAATTATAATATAAACCTAAACTTTTCCTTACCGAATTTTATGTGGGTCAATCTCCCTCCTCCTCTGGCTCGCACACTTGACCTCATTCTCTCCCTCCAAGCTGAAGTTCTAAATCAAGAGTCTACTATAATAAATTTTCTATTAACATTACAATGTGTGTGTGTGTGTCCATATATAGATATACTATAATAAATCAAGAGTCTAATATAT